TATGTAAGATGTTCTCAGCAGTTCCAGAGAGAACAAAGGAGGAGTTGGAATCGATATTGGGAAGGAAGTTCATGGGATACGTGAGTGGGAACTTCAGTGACTTTGAAAGAAAGAAACAGAAAGGATCAACCGTTACAGATTGCAATACAGTAGACGAGAATGATGAAGTCCACCGAGTGATGATGTAAGTGGAACCATTACTGGAAGCTTCGGGAAAACGTAATTGGAGGAGCATCATGTTGACACATTAGGAGTTTCCCTGCCACTGCTTGCTGCAGACCTGGTGGTATCCCGAGCGTAGTAATCTGGTGTTGATCTGCGACTCTGGAGAGCTGCTCTCCATGGGTTTACCAGACTCATCACGGCCCATAACAATAGTGATAGTGGGAGTTATGATGGCGATACGATGGCTGGAGGCTCATGTGAGAGAAATCAATAGACAGGAGGCACCAACGAGAGAACAGTTGCAGGAATTGGATTGTCTAAAAGGTTTGGATCTTTTTGAGACAACGTGCAAGATTCTAAACATTCCGATGGAAGTGAAAAAGATATGGGCAAGAAGACGATTGATGCCATGGTTCAGAGCTAACATGACTGCATGGTTGTACGAATATGCCAAAAAGCATATGTCGAAGCACGGCAGGGTGTACAGTGGATATCAGCTGGACATTGGAGCAGGAGCTTTCAAGCGATCTTTCGTGACTCATCGGAATGCAGTGACCACCGCTGTAAAAAGAAATTCCAGGACAAGTGAACGTAGTGGAAAGGAGAAGGAAGAGTTGTTGAAGAAAGATTTGGAGAGAAACGTGACGTTGTGTCTCCACAACAGCTTCTGCAGGAACAGAGAGTCTAACGTGGATCCTCTACCTTATTGCAAACAGAGGGTAGAAGAGCAGAAGTGTTGGAGGACTGCTTCCAACAGCGTCAGAATAGCTAGCGATGTGTTGCAAGACACAGAAACTGAAAGTGCAGAGTCAGTGTCACAGGAGGAAGAGATGGAACATTGACAAATGGTCGAAAGAACAAGATGCAAAAAGAAAAAAAAATTAGAAGAAGTTAGAAGTTTTAGAACTTCTAAACGACGAAAAGATTAGAAACAAAGGAGTGACAAAAGAGAAGAAGTTAAAACTCAGAATTTTTTTATGTGTGTGAAAAAACTCAAGTGAGAAACCAAGCAACCAAGTTGTAATTGAAAACTGAAACATTTAGTTGAGCTTTGAACATTAAAGAATTTGTTGCATTTATAAATTTGCATTTTCATTTTAGTTGGTGGCTTTAGAGACACTTACTTACTATTTATTTAGAAAGATTTGAGTAAAGAGTATATTAAAATATTCCAGCCTGCATGACTGTTTTCAATCAACTAGGAGAACTGATCACTTTGTGGCGATATGAAAGGTTTGGGCAATCTCTCGAAGAGGGAGATTTTCTCATTGTTCTTTCTAACCACAGAGTTTCTTAGTTTTAATATTCAGGACAATAACAAGCAAGATTTCCGAAGGGAAGAAGCATGTTAGGATAATTTTAGCTGACTCAGATTATAGAGTTCCTGTAGATTGTCTCACTAACGCTATGAACGTTTATATATCAATCTTCACTAACTCAATAAAACTTGCAGCAAAACGTACGAACGCGTGTGTGTTTATATGCGGAGATATGGATATGCCAGAACTATGCTGGAAGTCATTGTACGCTTCCTCTGATTACTACTACTACTACTACTACTAAAAGAATTTATTCCCTTTAAAATATAAAGGCATCAAACAAGAGAAATGGTATGATTATGTACACAAGACATCACGAACGGCAATTTATGCAATGGCAACAAAGTATTATTGAACAAGAGTTGTTTAAGTTGAACATATCAATTCTATTTTTCAGATAGATTTTCAATTTTGCTTTGAAAATTTCAGGCGATGAGAAAATGTCGGCTATGTTGTTTGCTGAAATCATGTTGGCATACCGACAGACGCGATAGAAGAAAAATTGCTCTGTAAAGAAGAGTCGACAATTCTGGGTTGTTGAAAGCTTAGGGCGTGAGCTATTGCGAAGGTCTTTGGCTGCAAAGGTAAAATTTATGTATCTGTAAAGGTTGAAATCAAATTGATCAGTCAGGACTCGATTAAGAAAACACATATCATGTAAAGCTATAGTGAAGGAAATTGGCAAGGAATTCGTTTTTCTAAGTTGTTCTGTATAGTCGTTGACTCCCGTTACCCATTTCAAACATTTTCTGTTAAATAATTCTAGTTTGCGGCGATATGTTAAAGATGGAAACCAGACCTGACTACCGTATAATAAAATACTCACAATACATAGCTGGTAATATTTGAATTTGGTTCTCATGGATACTCCATAAGGGATTGAACGTTTCAAGAAATGGAAAGCTTTGTTAACTGCAACCAGTTTGGTTTTAATGTGGATGTCCCACTTTAAATCACTAGATATCGTTACTCCGAGATCTTTGATAGATGAAACTGACGGAATTGGGTAATCATTAAGGCAAAGTGTAGATTTGGGGGAAGTTGAGTTAAAACAAATAACTTTGCATTTATCAGAATTAAATGTCATTTCGTTTTCAAGCGTCCAATTGATAAATAGATCAATGTCTATTTGAACTAAGGAAAAGTCATATTTTGAATAGAGTTTGCTGTCATCAGCAAACAGAAAACATTTAGAGGTTTTCAAGACAGCTGGCATGTCATTAATGAAGAGTATAACTACGGCTTTTATTGATTTTCTGGATTGCAAGAACTTGGTGCAGATAGTAGACGAACCTACACACTCAGGTGGAAATGTACTTGACCTTTTTATCGCAGATGTTTTAGATCGTTATAATATCACGATCTTGGAGAAAATCTGTATTTCTGATCATTTTCCATTTTTTATTGAAATATATTTTACACCGTGTACAGAATTCACAGAAGGAAACTGCTCTTGAATAATATCAAATTTTTCTGTCGATTGGTTTCTGTTTGCCCAAAATATCAAAACTTTTGTCGACTTCTGTGTTTATGTGTATGCTCAGCCTTATTTTGGAAGCAACGTTTTCTATTTGGAGTGGTGTAACCTTCTTTACTCCGCTATCGAATCATCTAGTGTACAAAAACGGAATAAAAGAGAACAGTATCCGACGTATTTCTCATCCCATACAATCCAGTTGATAAATAAACTGGAAGCTGAAAACAAGCTGTGCTTTTAAACGACTATTTTGGTTCAGTGTTTACTTTCGATGATGAGGTGTCAGAAACTCAGCCGACACCTAGTTATCATACCATTTGCTTGGAAAATGTTAGTTTCACCGTTGAAGACGTTGAAATTCTCCTGAACGAAGTTCCTGATAGTGCAAAAGTCACAACAGATGAAGTTCCTCCTTTTATTCTACGCTTTGCATCCTCTGTACTTGTTACTTCTGTTTACATTTCTCTTACTTCCATTATTTATTCGCGTGTCTGGACTGACATCTGGAAAAGTGCCATAGTTGAAATTGTACACAAAAGTGAGAACAAGAAAAGGGTGAGCAATTATGGCCCGGTAAGTAATTTACCGAAGCTATCTCTTGTTTTTTAACGCTTGTTGTTCAACCACATATATTAAAAAGTACGATCAAAAATATATAAAAGACAACCTGTATTCATGTCCGGAATATCTACAATTACTCAGCTTATTGACTTTGTTGAACAGTTATATTTCGGCAAAGTTAATAATCTGGATGTCAGTTGTCTTTACTTCGACTTCCAAAAGGCTTTTTGATTCGGTTTCCCTCAAAATTCTACTCGGAAAAATGGCCTTTATAGGCTTTGACAAGAAGTTTCTTGCACTCGTTGAATCCTATCTTTCAAACCGCAGCCAAAAAGTAAGAGTTTGCGATTTTTGTTCTGAACCAGGAGCTGTTACTAGTGGTGTACCTCAAGGCAGCATTTTGGGGCCATTGGTACTACTTATTTTTGTTAAAGACCTGCCAGACTCAGTCACCAACACTATCTGTTATCTTTACGTGGATGATCAGTTGGGCGCAATGTAACAGTCTGCAGGTGCACGCCGACAAAACAGTGCAAATAGTGTGGTCCGGCACACCTCCAGAACTGTTTTTGAAAGAAGAAACAATTTCCTCGGTTGATGATGTGAAAGATCTTGGTGTTTATATTGACAAAAGTTTAAATTGGACATCTCATATTGATTGCAAGCTTCCAACAAGTTATCGACAACTATACAACATAAAACGAAATGTTCCTTACAATGTGCGAATGCGAGTTAAAATCAATATTTATTCGTCTTGTTTTCTCTTTATTCTCCTTTTCAATTAACAATTGTGGAGGCCTTCAGTTACATCACTACGTAAAATTGAGAATATGCCTTAAAAAGGGCGTTCGTTGGGCCACAGGACTGCCCGATTACAGAGCTGCTCTATTAGGGGCAAATGTTTTGCGCATCTGCTATCTGCATTACTATGACCTTGTATTCTTCTTCAAGCTATGGAATGGTTACTTCGATGTAGACGTTTCAGCCTTTTTATCTTTTGCACTGGGAAATTCAGGTTTGAGATCATCTTCTTATGGTTATTTTATCACACAGCCAGGCAGGAAATTAAAAACTGATAATTCCTATTATCACAGGATAACTAAGATGTCAAATTACCTTTTTCGGAAAGGATTTATTACTTTCAGCATGTCTCTTCAGAAATCCGGATGGAAGCTCTGAGAATATCTGACTGAAAAGCTGCTAACAAAGTTGGATGTTGAAAGCTCTTTTTCTTTCTTTTTGTTTTGTGAGCAATCGTGCTGTCGATCATTTTCCTTTTCGTAAATTTAGTTAATAAACCCCTGTAAAGAAGGGTAATAAAGTCTCTCGTTGTTGTTGTTGTTTTACATATTAGTTAGATTTTTAATCCTGAAGATGCACTAAAATTGTGCGAAAACGTTTGTTCAATTTACATTTTTAACGCAGTAACCAGGATAATTTCTGACCTCATGTTTTATCTAAAATGCCATATTTTTAGTGTTTGGAATGGATTACTCGTTCACAATTTTCGACACAGGACTTTTGAAGGCTGCGAACAAACAGGAATCAGTTACGCCCGTAGTCGTGAGTTATCATCTAACATTGCGTTCTTTTAAACACCAGGTAAAAAGTTTCCGAAGTTATTGGAGAAAATTGAATACTTCATCCACCTAAACACAAAGATCTAAAATGAAGTGTGATGGAATATTAGAACAAATAAAATTATCTATCTATTCTATCTATTATTTAATTGGCGTTTCACGTGACACATGTTTAAGAAGTCCCTATGTTCACGTGTTTAAGAAGTCCCTATTTTTGCATGTTTAAGTTTTTTCAACGTATTATTTTTTTGCATATTTAACGAAAATGTTTTTGCACGTTTAAGCTATACCGTAGGTTAAAATGCTTAAGAAATTTCATTTGGCTCATGTTAAAGTCTGTTGGTCTGTTAAAGGCCAAAAAATTGCAAGATTTGAAAATTTTATATATACATACGTTGTATGCATTCCTATATATTGGGGTGCTGTTAAGTACATTTAGGGGTTGCAAATCTGGCGTTCAAGTATGACTGCTCAAATCCTTATATTGTTCGAGATATGGCGCTTTTATGATTTTTTGATTTTTTTTGTCAAAACACCTGAAAGAAAAACCCAACCGAACTTGAAATTCTCAACCCTATAGTGGGGTGCTATCAGGGTATATTCAGGTGTGGCAAATCTGGCGTCCAAGTATGACAACTCAAATCCTTTAATTTTTCGAGATATGGCGTTTTTATGTTTTTTTTTTTAGTTTTTTTTTTTCAAAAAATTTCGATATTAATGAACTAACCGAACTTCAATTTCTCAACACTATAGTGGGGTGCTGTTAGGGTACTTTTAGAAGTTGCAAATCTGGAGTCCAACTATGACTGCTTCAATCTTTTTGGTTTTCAAGATATGGCGTTTTTTATGATTTTTTCATGTTTTTTTTTTCAAAAAATTAAGATATAAAAAAAATTAGATAAAAAAAACTAACCGAACTTGAATTTCTCAACCCCATAGTGGGTTTTGTCAGGGTTCATTTAGGGGTTGCAAAGCTGGCGTCCAAGTATGACTGCTCAAATTCTTTTGGTTTTCGAGAAATTGCGTTTTCTATGGTTTTTTAAATATTTTTTTTTGATCAGAAAACATATAAAAAAATAACCGAACTTCAATTTCTCAACGCTATCGTGGGGTGCTGTCAAGGAACATTCAGGGGTTGCAAATCTGGAGTCTAAGTGTGACTGCTTAAATCCTTTTGGTTCTCGAGAAATGGTGTTTTTATGATTTTTTTAATTATTTTGTTTTCAAAACTCTTAGATATAAAAAAAATTAAACGAACTTCAATTTCTTCAACAGTAATGTGGAGTGCTATCAGGGTATATTCAGGGGTTGCAAATCTGGCGTCCAAGTATGACAACTCAAATCCTTTAATTTTTCGAGATATGGCGTTTTTATGTTTTTTTTTTAAGTTTTTTTTCAAAAAACTTCGATATTAAAAAACTAACCGAACTTCAATTTCTCAACCCTATAGTGGGGTGCTGTCACGATATATTCAGGAGTTGTAAATCTGGCGTTCAATTGTGACTGCTCAAATTCTTTTGGTTTTCGAGAAATAGCGTTTTTTGAGACTTTTTAGTTTTATTTTTTTCAAAAAAATTTAGATATAAAAAAGTTTGATACAAAAAACTAACCGAACTTGAATATCTGAACCCTATAGTGGGGTGCTGTCAGGGTATATTCAGGAGTTGCAAATCTGGCGTCCAAGTGCGACTGCTCAATTTTTTTTGGTTTCGAGAAATTGCGTTTTCTATGATTTTTTAAATTTTTTTTTTCAAAAAAATTTAGATATAAAAAACTTAGATACAAAAAACTTACCGAACCTGAATTTCTCAAACCTATAGTGGGGTGCTGTCAGGATATATTCAGGAGTTTGAAATCTGGCGTTCAATTTTGACTGCTCAAATTCTTTTGGTTTTCGAGAAATTGCGTTTTTTGTGACTTATTAGTTTTTTTTCCAAAAAACTTAGATATTATAAAACTAATCGAACTTGAATTTCCCCACCCTATAGTGGGGTGCTATCAGGGTAAATTTGGGGCTTGCAAATCTGGTGTCCATGTATGACTGCTCAAATTTTTTTGGTTTTCGAGAAATTGCGTTTTTTATGATTTTCTCATTTTTTTCCAAAAAAATTAGAAGAAAAAACTAGATAAAAACACACTCCGAACTTCAATTTCTCAACCCAATAGTGGGGTGTTGTCAGGGTACATTCAGGCGTTGCAAATCAGGAGTCCTAGTATGACTGCTCAAATCTTTTTAGTTTTCGAGATATGGCGTTTTTTATGATTGTTTCATATTTTTTTTTTCAAAAATATTTAGATATAAAAAAAACTTAGATGTAAAAAAAATTAATCGAACTTCAATTTCTCAACCCTATAGTGAGGCGCTGTCAGGGTACATTCAGGGGTTGCAAATCTGGAGTCCAAGTATGACTGCTCAAATCCTTTTATTTTTCTATAATTTTGGTTTGTCTGTTTTCTGAAGACTTGGTTTTGTAGCACCGGAGGTGCGATTGACGCGCTAGTCTTAGATTAACTCTGAACAGCAATGAAAAAAAAACTATTTAAGCTATTCAATAAAACTTGAATGTTTTTCAAACAATCTTTCCATAAGCTCCCACATTTTACTTAGGATTATGAAACAAATTCCTAAGTCTTATGTTACGACTACTGTTACGACAAGCAAGGGTATTGCAATCGGGTACTAGACTTTTTCCCGGAAATAACTTCCCGTAACTCTTGTCCTGGATCCTGGACTTACTCATATTCTTCCTTTTCGCTTCCTGAGACGGCAAAGACTGGTTCGCATATGGCCTTGACCTATTTTTTGTTGCAATTTTTTGTGCATTTTTTTCAGCTTTTTTCTAAGTTACACTACACCCGAGCTTGACGACGAAGATCGGGGGTTCGATTCCAGTCGGGATCGGATACCACGCCTGGACAAGATTCGGCGGTGGTTTTGGCGATCAAACCTGAGCAAAAGGGCAAAAGCAATAGTGGTGCAGGCGGTAGTTGAATCGTCATTTCTCTTCGACTGTAACGTGAGACCGTGGTTACAAGGAGACATCAAGAAGATGCAAGGAATGGTCGATAAATGTTACCGGTCAGTCTGGAACCATGAAAAGGTACTGAGAATGCACCAGGAGGGTGTCAACTCTTATGGGTTGCGCAGAGAATTGGGCATCGACAGCTTAAGGCTGAAGATAGAAAAGCGAACTCTGGAAAGGGTAGGACATGTTTGAGAATGGGAAATGAAAAAACGGTGAAGAAAGTCGTGTTAGGACAGTGGAACATGGAGGCAACCAAAGAAGGCAAGTTGAGGGGAGGGACGATATCCTACTGGAGACGCTTAGTCCGCGAGGCCGCTGAAGACGACAACAACCTTGAGCAGTTGACCCGAGATCGTAAATCCTGGAAAACATTCATCATGAGACGTGTCAACTTCATCCAAGACTGGGAGGAGAAGATGAGCCTCATTGGTAGAAACGATAGTAAGCCTGTAAGAACACAGAGGACAGTCTAGGACGACACTTTCTTTAAATGCAGGTGGGAAAGCTGGGTAGAGCAGGTAGAGTCCAACATGAAAGATTAATCCACAGGTCAACAGACACAAAGTTCATATGCCCCAAATGCAATAGCAGCTTTAAAGAGAACAGCCAACTGACAAATCATGAAAAAAGCTGTGGGAAGCAGAAAAGTAAAGTGGCCTGTAACCAGTGCGGTAAAACTATGTGGAAGACTAGCCTGAAAAAACACCGAGAAAAAAACTGTCACGGAGGAAAAGTCGCGAACGAGAAGAAGAAAGACAATTCCAACTCCCCAGGGAACATTGTACACTATGCCACAAAGTGATCTTAAAGACAAATATGTCAAGACATCGACGGGACATACACGGGTGGCGTCACATCGTCACATCAGCCAAGCACGGAAGGGCGTAACGGCGAGAAGAAGTCGGGATCTATGTTTTTCTGGAAAATTTCGGCTATTTTAGATGTTTGTCTATCAGTTTATTTCAGCCGGCTTAGTTCCTGCAGAACGGACTTTGTTGAAAGTTTAGCTTCTTTCTAGATTTATGAAAGTTCTTTGTAAAATTTCTAATGGTGCAGGTAATTTTGTTCGGGATCTTTTGGACTTTTTTGCGATTCTTATTACTTTTTATGATTAAAACAATTTTTTGATTTTTTTTTTCAGTTTTCGATTTTTCTTTTCATTTGATTTTACTTACAGCCATTTTTTGTATCGCAAGTGTTGCGAAGCTCAGCTTTGCCTCTGTGTGGAGTTATGGATTTATATCTTTGTGGCGCCGCAAAATTAAGCGCCAAAACCTGGCAGATGTCTCATGAAATGTGACATTTTAATGTGCGTGGTAGCAGTAACGGAAATATAAGAAAAATTCAATTGAGAATATAACAAAGAAATTGTAGCTCTCCATACTGTGAATTTTAAATAATGGGGTTAGACCCTTTTTTGCTTTGTGGGTTGAAAATTTAAGTTCTGAATGCCAGGAACCGGGCATGGACTGGATGGGTCGAATTTATGCATCCGATGTATGTTCTTTTGCCAGTCAATACATCTTTTGCCAGTATCTGTCCACCGAATGATTTTGCATACAGCTTTGTCAAATGGAAAAGCAATCAGCTTATGTTTACGAAGATAGGTTATTACACTTGTGAGAGCAAGTGTCTTCTAATCGGGAACAAGATTTTTCCCCCGAAAACAACTTTTCCTACACTTTGTAATTACACTTGCTTGGCCTGGAGGTAATGCGGTTGCGCCCTATGATCTGGCTTACGAGTCAGATAGATCCTGTTGTTTTTTCAATATCTGGAAAATATTTTTGTTCCGTGAAAACTTGATTAGTCGGGCTATAGTTTGTCGGCTTATGTTTTGTCTGCTTAGTTGCAGCACCACAATTTTTTTTGCAATGTAAGCAGTTTTGATTGTAGTCTCAGATGTCGGTGCTTAAATCCTGTCGTTTGTAAAATCTACTATCTCTGACTGGTATATTTTCCATTTTTATGTTTTTTTCGCTTGAAAAATTTATTCGGCCTAATTGATTGCGGCTCATGTTTTGGCAGTTTAGTGGACTTATTTTGTATCGGTCTAAGGGCAAAATTAATTATTCATGTTATTTTTTACCTTTTAATCGCTCAAAATTTTTCGATGACAAAATTTTCTCTAGCGTTTTTGGATCAATTGCCATCTAACCTTGTGTATTCGGCTTAGTGAAAGCTCGGAAAATACTAAAAGTTTGTTTAATTCTGATGGTTGTGTTTCTCGTCTATTTTTCTTCTGAGATTGAATTTTTAGTACTTCTAGAAGAACGTTTTTTTAGGACCACAAGTTTTTGGAATTTTTTGTTTTCAGATCAATTGATGTCTAACCACGTTGTTTTTTGGCATTTTTTGATGAATTGGCGTCTTACCTTGTGTAGTCGGCTTAGTGAACGCTTGGAAAATACGAAAAGTGTGTTTAAAGTAGGTGTTTGTGTTTGTCGTCTGTTTTTCTGAGATTGAACTTTACGTATTTCCAAAAAGATTAATTTTTTCCAAGTTTTTTCGACCTAGTTATTTCCATCTCCTTATCTACATGGTAGCTTGCAATGCTACGCTTTCGTTGTATCGCAAGTGATGCGAAGCTCCACTTCACCTTTGCGGGGTAGCGATACAACGAAAGCGTAGCATTGCAAGCAACCAAATAACCTATCTTCGTAACAATGAGCTAGTTGATGTTCAATTTGCTGAAGAACTTCATTTCATCGAACCTGTTGACTACTGGATTCCTGGGTCCATAAGAGAAGAAAATAATTACGCTATGCGGAGGATCATTTTTTTAAATGACCATAGGCTGTTTTAGGAGCATCAATTTTGTCGTGCTTGTCAAAATAACAAGCGGCCAGTAGAAACGAGGACAGTGAAAACACAATTTTCACCCGAATATCTGGGCAAGAAAAATAACCAGATTAACGTGAAACCCTTATGGACAGAAGACGAGCTAAAGATTTTGCGAATGAAGTATCAGCAAATGGATAAAGAGAAGTTCAGTCTGAAAAGTAGAAACAAAATCATGGAGGTCAAACTGGCTGAGTTAGAAAAAGAGTTGGTGTGTTCCAAGGCCCAACTTGATGAACTTAGTAAGTAAAAAAATAATGACGCTTGATTTTTTCAAATCTCTCTTGATGACATTCATACGCCCAAAAGCAAAATAGTCAGTTGGCTGCCTTGTTTTTCAAGCATAAACTTGGGGCTCATAAATAGTTCTTCATAAGAACCGGAAAATACTAGACAAAAATAGATACGTTTTTTCAATTTTGTCGGTTTTTATAAGCAGGGCAGTTTTTATCATTCGTTTTAGTTCAACTTTCAACTTAATCGACTTAAGCAAATGCTTGTGTTGTGATACGAGTTAATTTTTTAAAGAGGCGATAAACCCAAAGAAAACTTTTTTAAAAGTCGCGATGATTTTTTTTCAGGATAAATTAAGGCTCAAATTTGTTTTTTCAATGTTTGAGTGTTTACACTAGCGTTAACTTAGTGTATTATTAAGAATATATTTTTTTCTAGCCTAAGTCACAAATATTGGTGCCACTTTTGGGGTACCTTTATAGCTTTTTGATCGCATGTGCTTTGACATTCGAATAGTTAAGTTTTAAATTCATCAAATGAACCGAAAAAAGCTATTTGTTTCAAACAACAGCAACAATGAAAACTCGAGTTCAGAAATTTTGGAACTCAATGTATCTCGCAATTTTTCGAAATGCATAATTTATACATAATATGGCGTTATGATTTCCGATTTGTTGCATGCAAAGTTAGTGTGGATGTCTTCAGTTTGTTATATTCCAAATTATTACTTGCAAAATTGTGTCTGTTTGTTTTTGATGCCACTTTTGCTGAATTGATCGACGAAAAACTTGATCGACTTCTAGTTCGAAAGTGGATTTTAATTTTTTCCCAGCCGAATTATAAAATACCTATTGATCCAGTGTTCTCAAAGTGGGATAGTTTCATCGAAAAGTGTCAATTGTAAATTGTGCTTGAATTTCAATGAGTTGTAAGGTCATTTATTTTCTACTTGAAATTCGAAAGTTTTTTTTTTTTAGAAAACGGCAGTATTTTTCTTTTTTCATTGCGTTCATGACTCTTTTGCAACTATCTGTTGGCTATGCTTTCTTATTAAGATCATAACAATTTCTTTGTTTAAGGGAAAGCAAACTCCACAATCGAACTTCAAAAATGTACAGGTCACGAAAAACGTGATCGAGTTGTAATTTCGAAAGTGGATTTTCAGATTTCACAACTGTATATAAAACTTACCTATTGATACACTTCTCTCAAATTTAGTCGATTTTATCAAAAAGTCTGTTTTTTTTCTAAAATTCAAAGATTTTAAAAGGCCCTATATTTTTTTCTCTGAAATTCGAAAGTTGGAAGTTTTTTCAAAAGAAACAAGTCACTGTTTTCTGTGCATTCCTTAACTTTTTCCAACTTTCTGTTGGCTGACTTTTTATTTTTTGTGTTTGCTAAGTTAAGCATTGTCTCCGTCTTTTATTGCGTCTCTATCTTAAGTTTTTTTGGAAATGTGAGGAGCTAAAATAATAATATATATTTTTGACATGTTATCGGAATAAAAATATTTCATGTTTGTTTCCAGCGCGTAGATTTGCAGATAGTGGTATTCGGAACGAGATTAACCAAACAGAAAGTCATCAAAACTCAAAAGATGTCAAGACTCTATTGTCAGAAGTAGATTCAATCAAAGCCGAAAATGCAGGACTTAAGGAATCGCTGCTTGAATCGAAGACCTTAAACCGAAAGTGCGAATCAGAAATCAGATTACAAAGAGAAGATTTAACAAGAATTAAAGAGAAAGTAAGGATTCACGAAAATGATCAACAGAGGGCTGTTCAAATGAGAGAGGAATCACTTAACGCCGAGTTTTCCCTAGAGAGATCGAAACTAAAGCAGGAAATAGATCACTTAGAGTCAGCTCTGAAAGCTGAAAGAAACAACCATATCATAACAAAGCGAGCATTGGAGCAGCTGCAGTTGCATTTTGGGAGGCAGGATACTTTAATACGATCATCGTTGGAAAAAGAGTCCCCCAGAAAACAAAAGAGCTCGCGGACGCCTGATACCTATGAAATAGTATTTTGAGGACGGCCGAATAAGAACTTGAACTGTGTATTGTATATTTGTAAATAATCAATTAAAGCTAGCGATGTTGATGTATTGAATGAATAAAGGTAATGAAGTTATCCTTTTCCACCGAATTGATGCGAGGTAGGAGCAGTGTAACCCTTTGGTCACTAATTTGTCACTATTTTTTTCAATGGTCACTAAAAGTCACTATTTACAACGGTTTTTGGTGACGGACCCTGAAAATTTTCAAAAAGTTTTTGGTGCCGGACCCTAAAATTTTTCAAAGTGACTAAAAACAAATTTTTCAGCCTGTTTATTCAAAATTATGCATGCGGCGCAAAAATTTTGGCCCAAACAGGGACTTTTAAATGCTCTGGGAGAGCTTGAAAAATTCATTTGGTCAACCTAAAAAAAAGGTCGACAAAAAATTCGAAAATTGTCATAGTCACTATTTATCTCAAAAAAGTGGTCACCCTTGGTAGGAGAGGATCAATATTGAGGTATAGAGCAATATCGGCAGTTAGTCGACTTCTAGTTTTTCCCATAAACAACCGCTTAAAAGCAAACTCAGCTCAAGATTTCATTAAAGCTACAAACTTCTTAACAACTGCCTCGAAAAAAGTGTACTATTTTTTTTTGTATTAAATGAAAAAACTTCAGCTGTGAGATATCGGCTGTTTTCCAGTTCCCCCTTAAATTTTTTCTGAAATTCAATATATGAAAGTCTATTTACCCTTGCAAAGCAAGGGTATTATATTGGGGTACTAGACTTTTTTCCCGTAAACAATTTTGTCCACAGGATCTTTTCTAGAGGATCTTCATTTCTAGTTTTAAACAACATTTTTTAAATCTCGTGTTAATTTTTATCAAGGTAATTTGTAAAGCAACGATTTTAGTTTGACTGATTATTTTTTACTTACTTGAAAGTTCTGTGGTTTGTCATTTAACCACGTCTGATTTTTTTAAATAACTTTATAAAGTTTTTTTTCGACTTAATGATTTCGGCTGATGATGCATCGGCTTAGTCAACTTATATTTTGTAATTTCGATAGCAACAAATTGAAAATTGCATAGAATCTGATCTCTGATTTTTTTGTTGTGGCTAGTGTGTGGTGGGTATTAAGCTTCCGTGGCTGCGTATTTAGCGTGTGAGACTCTTAATTTCTTGGTCACAGGTTCAAATCTCAGAGATGGCCGAACTTCTGGTAATTCGAGACATATTTCTTGTTTTTATTATTGCCCTTTATATAGCTGCTTTTTGCTGTGTTCTCGCGAGTATGTTGCGAAGCTTCGCCTCTGTGTTAAAACTTTTATTTTAAACTGCAATTTAATCGTTGACTATAAACTAAACTTGGTGTACCGCTAAAATTAAACAGAACATAATTTACTAATCGATTGGGAAACCGTGAGCATCCTTTTAAGTAAATTCTACATGTTATGAGCTTCCGAAAACTGAGTTTTTTGAAACTATAACCTCCTAGCCTAATTCGTTTGCAAGAATTAAATCAAAAATAAAAAAGGTCTCTTTTAAGTGCCATAGATCGACACGCCAAATTTAGGTTTTGTGGCTCTCATAAATTCAGGAAAGTTCATTAATCACGCTTAAAATCAAGTTTTGCTGTTTGACTTGTGATGTTTTAACGCTTGCGATTAGAAAGAGTTATCAAATTGGAACAAAAACAAACTGTTTTCCAGGTAAATAACATGTTTAACAGAATCACTAAATCGTGTTTTTCTTTGAATTGCTTTATCCAGGTAAACTACTTATCTAACAGAATCGCAGTCGTCAACCAGCAGACAGATTTCGAGCATGATGAATTTTAAGTTCCCGTTCTATTTACTCTTTCGATAATCAAGGGTATTGCAATCGGGTACTAGATTTTTTTCCCGTAAACGTTTTTGTTCTCAAGACTCACTTCTGGACTCCTTCACCTCTTCGTCCTCCTTGCAAATCCTACTCCTCTTGATTGCAAATTTTAAGCATGGTTGAGTTTGTTATTTAATATTCCGACCTTTTCAAATTTGCCTTTTGTGTTGTTTGTGATTTTTCCAACTCGATTTGTTAAAATATTGTTTTGTTTGTGTCCTTTTTTTGGCCTAATAGGCTTCGGCCTATTTTATATCAGCGTAGTGGTCTAGATTCTAGCAGTTTCAAGATAAACATGTATTTTATCCTCACCTTTAGATCGCACAAAATGCTACAAATCTTAATAGAAATTATAGTTCAAGTTTTTCATGACAACAATTGTTTACGGCTTTTTTCGGCCTTATAAATTTTGGTCTACATACATTATATAAAATTAATGGCCGCATACTGCTCTTTCGATTGGCGAAAAAGTTTGTGTGTGCGTGTCTTGTTTTGAGGGCGAGGAGGACTTAATAACTTCTTATTTCTCATGAAATTTTTTGACTTTTGTGCTTTTTCTTTTTCGGCTTGATAGGTTTCAGCTTATTTTACGTCGACTTAGCCGCCTCTTGTTGCGTTGTTTCACGAGCTGTGTATGTGTTTTGAGGGTGATGGGGTCTAAATAACTTTTTGTTGGTAAAAAAGTTTATAGGTTTTGTTTATTTTTATTTCTTTTTTTTCCAATAAATCTAGTTTTTTCGACATTTTCAGTTTTTTTTTTATTTTGGGGTCTTCTTGTTTTGTGTCGCAAGTGTTGCGAAGCTCAGATTCGGCTCTGTGTCGATCTTGGCACTTGCGTTGCTTATAAAACAACCAACAACGCTTTGGTATAAAATCAGCCTTTTATTTTTTCTCAAATGTACAAGAAATGGTTTTCACTTATAAAGTTCGTGATGTTTTTTTTTCAGCGAAGAATGTCCTAAAATTGTTGACGCTCAAATTTGAGTTTTCGGTGTTTGACTTTTGATTTGTTTTTATGATCAGTTAGTTTCTTTGTTAAAAAGAAGGCAAACTCCACTATCAAACAGCACAAGTATTAGGGTCACGAAAAACGTGAATGACTAATTTTTATCAAAATAGACTTAACTTTTTTGAATTTTCAGTGGAATAAAAGAATAAATTTTGATCTACTTCTCTCTCTCTTAATGGATTGTTTTTCAGAAAAAAGCCAATCATAGAAAATGAAAAAACGAAAATTGAAAAAACATTTCCTGAGCTATTAATTGACTGATCAACGCAAAAAAGTTCTGGTGATTGAATAAATGATGAATGATAGTTGTGAGGAAATTTTGAAATGTTTAACGTTACTTGCGTCAGATTGACTTCTTTTATAAAATGAATAGCTGAAATATTTTTCTTTTCTTGATCACTTTTTGGTACTCATTTTTCTGCATTAAATCACAAAAAATCCTTACTTTAATCTAATAGATATATAGTATAAAGAATGGTAACAAATCAACTGTCGTATTTTCAGCAGTTTAGAAAACTCAAGAGCAGATGAGCGTTTTGTTTCGACATTCGATGAAAGTGACGGAATGTTTGTGCTCTGGCTGGTTTCTTTTCGCCAGACCAATTTCGGCTTTTTAATTGGTCATTTTAGCAGAATTTCCTTCATTTACTTTCTTTTTTTTCTAACCTAACTAGTATTGGAAATTGAAAAGCATCTGTTTTCTGCTTTATATGTGACTAAGTGGTTTGTGGTACCTGTTCCGTGGCGTAGTGGTTAGTGTGTGAGACTCTTAATCTCTAGGAACCAGCTTCGAATCTCTTAGGTAGACTCCATAAAATGTCTCCATAGCTAGATATCGCTTGGAAACAATTTGTTATGATTATTATGATTTTTATTATGATTATTATTATGATTATTACTATCATTAATTTTATTATGATGATTATTACGATTAATATGATTTTTATCATTATGATTATGATTATTATTATTATGATTATTATTATTGTTATTGTGATTATTATTAATATTATTATGATTATGATTATTATGGTTAGTATGATTATTATGATTATGATTATTATTTTGATTATTTTTATGATTATTGTGATTATTATTAGTATTATTATAGTTGCGATCAGCTTATTGTATTATTACGAACTTTCTTTTTTTCTATCCTAACTAGTATTGGAAATTGAAAAGCATCTGTTTTCTGCTTTATATGTGACTGAGTGGTTCGTGGTACCTGTTCCGTGGCGTAGTGGTTAGTGTGTGAGACTCTTATTCTCTAGGAACCAGGGTCGAATCTCTTAGGTTGACTCCATAAACTAGATATCGCTTGGAAACAAATTGTTATGATTATTATGATTATGATTATGATTATTACTATTATTAATTTTGTTATGATTTTTCTCATAATGATTATGATTATTATAATGATTATTATGATTATGATGATTGTGATTATTATTATTATTATGATTATTATTATGATTATTATTATTGTTATTGTGATTATTATTAATATTACAATGATTATGATTATTATGGTTAGTATTATTATTATGATTAGTATTATGATTATGATTATATTTTTTATTATAGTTGCGATGAGCTTATTGCATTATTACGAACTTTATTTTTTTCCAACCTAACTAGTATTGGAAATTGAAAACCATCTGTTTTCTGCTTTATTTGTTATGATTATTTGTTATGATTATTATGATTTTTATTATGATTATTATAGTTGCGATCAGCTTATTGTATTATTACGAACTTTCTTTTTTTTTCCTAACTAGTATTGGAATTTGAAAAGCATCTGTTTTCTGCTTTATATGTGACTGAGTGGTTTGTGGTACCTGTTCCGTGGCGTAGTGCTTAGTGTGTGAGACTCTTAATCTCTAAGAAAAAGGGTCGAATCTCTTAGGTAGACTCCATAAAATGTCTCCGTAGCTAGATATCGCTTGGAAACATTTTGTTATGATTATTATGATTTTATTATAATAATTATTATGATTATTACTATGATTAATTTTATTATGATGATTATTACGATTATTATGATTTTTATCATTTTGATTATGATTATTATAATGATTATTATGATTATGATTATTATGACTATTATTATTATGATTATTATTATGATTATGATAATTGTTATTGTGATTATTATTAATATTATAATGATTATGATTATTATGGTTAGTATTATTATTATGATTAGTATTATGATTATGATTATTATTTTTATTATAGTT